TACTATAGGGGAACGAGTGTGACTTTAATAGTAATTAAGATTTATGACTTTAACATTTTGTTGGATTTTAACAAAAAAAAAGAAAAAAAAGAAGCTATATTCAATACTTTTAGATTAGTCCCACTACTATAGAGTAATTTGAAGTTGGATATTTTGTTTTTTTTTTCTATTTGAAAAAAGAAGTTGTTTTTGGTAACAAAAAAATAAAAAAGTTTGTGGGTTTCTCTCTCTTATCGCACCTCTATCTTTCAAAGAGAGAGGGTAATTTCCGGTTACCAGAATCCACCTCCGGCGTTTGCCGTTCTTTTGCTATGTATATTTAGTTTCCAGCTTGAGTCGGATTTCGTTTCCGTTTTTGTCGGACCTTTCTCCGGTTTATCCAGTTCCTCATTCTTCAGATATTCAATCAATGTCCTCATGCGATCCTTTGATCTCCCCGTCCCACCGTCGGCTTGACTCCACTCTTCTATCAGAGTAATATCTTCGCCGTTTTATATGACTTTGTTGTAGTCGGCGACTTTCCTTAGGTCTTAGGCGGAGCTTCCAATTAGGAGATCGGGTTGATATGTGAAGATTTCTTCAAGTCTTCTTAGGACTTTTCTCAGACGGATCCGGTGGTCTTCAATAAGATCTGCAAAGGCGAAATCTGTAGAAGGAGTATGGTGGTGGATGCTTGAAGCCGGTGGCGGCGCTGCGTCAACTCGTGGATTTGGCCGGCACCGACTGCTCATTTTTCTCCATCTTACGTGTTAACATGTGGTGTTGCACGTGACACCTTTTAATCTTAATCTTTTACTCTAGTTAGTTTAAGATTAAGTAGTTTTTATGTTAATCAAAGTTGTAAATGTTGGGGAATGGGCTTCTGTAATTTTACTACTTTGGACTGCCCATTGTGTTGTATCACTCAACATGTTAAGTGGTATGACTAGCCATAAATTTATTACTGTTGACCGAAAATATTTTCTTTTTAATAATTAAATTTTTGTATGATGACAAAAAAAAAAAAAAAATTAAATTTTTGTATTTAACACTTTTGATAAGTTAATAAGAGGTCAAGTGATATGACTAGCAATAAATTTGTTAGTTCTTGATTCAAATTGGTATATATAATGATAAATTATCAATGGGAAATATAAGTAAAATTTAACAATGGGTATACATCTAGTCTAAATAAAATTTACGATCAAGTATTCGAAATATTTACCTTTGAAAAGCCGGTACGATCCTGTACAGCTCGACTCGCAGTACAACGTTTCGGAGAATCGTCTCTCAGCCATTTCTTGAACTTTCTGATTGGCAATTAAGCATTCAAAGTTGGTAAAGCATTTAATGCATATCTACAAAGTGGTGTCAGCATCACATCATTCGACTCACACTCTCCTAACCACATAAAACAGATGAATTGATAGTTAATTAGGTATGCATCCTTGAAATCCACAAACATCATACTAGGTTTGATATCTCTTGACCAAGTTCTGAACCGCACCACCACATATCCACATCTCCTCCTGTAAAATCAGCTCTGCTTTCAATCATATTGTTTCCTTCTTGTTTGAGAGTTAAGGAGGATTCGGAAGGACAACATTTTTGTCCTCCCCGAAGTCATTTTGATTGTTCATTTATTTTAGAAAGGGCGATGGCAGGACTGAATCCGAGGTAAAGAGTCTCTCGCCCGGCCCGGAGCTAAAGCTGGTGAAGCTAGGGCTTTAGGCATCAAAATTTATTAACAAATTTTGGGGCATCATTACAAAAATGTCTCTGGTATAGTGGTCAACGCTACTAACTGTCATCTTCTATGTGCAGATTTTCTTTAATGGGTCAAACTCATTTTTGCTTTAGGCAGCAAAAGGACTTGGGCCGGCCCTGCTCGACTTGACTAACATACACTCAACAACAATACATCACTGCAACCGATGTCCCCATAACAAAAATTTTGACCCTATGATGGAAACCAAAAATTTGTCCCAAACATATGCCATACACAAATGTAAAATGGTAAAGTAGAACCTAGTGTTTGGAAAGGGACTCTATTCTTTCTACCCCAAAGACAAAATAAAAAGATATGTAATAAAAATGATGACAAGAGAGACAAAGCAAACCAAAAGAAAGGTTTAAAAATGTAATAAATTTCCAAAATCAACGCTCCTTTTTGTTCCCGCTTTAACTTTTCCCACTCTCAAATCATTTTACCTTTGGATTTAAGCCTCATTACACTTTTTCTTTTTCTCACACTTTTTTACACTATTCTCTATTTTGTTGTTACTCATCTCTTATCAAAACATATTTAACTTGTCGACTTCACCTTCACTAGCTAGTAGCTACCATTGTTTAACTTTTAATTTTTAACTCGTATTTTCTGCTCCAACTTTGTAGAGAATCTTTTGTTATCCCAAAGAAAAAAAAAGTGGCTAAATTCACGTTTGACAATGTTGCTTGAAAAAGGTTTGATCTTGAAATTTCAAAAGAGGGAAAAAAGTAAAGGAGAAAAATTTGGAGAGACACAAGAAGTGAGTCAAGGGACCCAATAACAAAGACAAAGACAAAAACTTTGGATTTTGCCAAATACTATGATTAATGCTCATTCAACACTACCATTACAATTTCCATCATCATTTCTCTCTCTCTGGTTTTGGAAATTGCCTGAGAAAAAAACCTAACCATAACCATCTTCTTCTTCTTTCTCTTGTTCTTGAATCTTGAACATAATTCTACTTCATGGACAAGCATCATCATCAGCATCTTTTGTTACAGCATCATCAACATCTCCACCATCACCAGAAGCTCTCTCTTGCTAAATCTTCCAGACAAAGCTGTAGTGAATGGTATGTTCTCTTTCATGAGTTCTGTTACCAGTTGAAACACTTTAAGTTTCTCTGATCAAGAAACCAGTGTCTTTATATAACTCTGTCTCAATCTTGCTAATGATGTTCTTTCTTGCAACTGTTTAGGATCTTTCGAGACGTTCCGAGTGATATAACTATAGAAGTTAATGGAGGAAACTTTGCTCTGCATAAGGTATATTCATACTTATAACACAACCATCACTTCTTTCTCAAGTAAACCATTACTGAATATGTTTTGCTTCTCCATTTCTCAGTTTCCTTTAGTCTCTAGAAGTGGAAGAATCCGAAGAATAGTTGCAGAACATAGAGATTCAGATATCTCCAAAGTGGAGCTTCTTAATCTTCCTGGAGGAGCAGAGACATTTGAATTAGCAGCTAAATTCTGCTATGGGATTAACTTTGAGATCACTTCTTCAAACGTTGCACAGCTCTTTTGCGTCTCTGATTACCTCGAGATGACGGAAGAGTATTCCAAAGATAACTTGGCTTCAAGAACAGAGGAGTATCTTGAGAGCATTGTGTGCAAGAATCTTGAGATGTGTGTTCAAGTCTTGAAACAGTCGGAGAATCTTCTCCCTCTTGCAGATGAACTCAATATCATAGGTAGATGTATCGATGCCATTGCCTCGAAGGCTTGCGCTGAGCAGATTGCTTCGAGCTTCTCACGGTTAGAGTATAGTAGCTCAGGGAGGCTTCATATGAGCAGGCAAGTGAAGAACAGCGGTGATGGAGGAGATTGGTGGATCGAAGATCTTTCGGTTCTTAGGATTGATTTGTATCAGAGAGTTATGAATGCAATGAAGTGTCGTGGCGTGCGTCCAGAGAGTATAGGAGCTTCTTTGGTTAGTTACGCTGAGAGAGAGCTGACAAAGAGATCTGAACATGAACAAACCATTGTTGAGACAATTGTTACGCTTTTACCTGTCGAAAACCTCGTGGTTCCAATCAGTTTCCTCTTCGGGTTACTGAGAAGAGCAGTGATTCTTGATACTTCAGTCTCCTGCAGGCTTGATCTAGAGAGAAGGATCGGTTCTCAGCTCGATATGGCGACTCTAGATGATCTCTTGATCCCGTCTTTTCGTCATGCAGGAGACACTTTGTTCGACATTGACACGGTTCACAGAATCTTGGTGAATTTCTCACAGCAAGGAGGAGATGATAGTGAGGATGAAGAGTCTGTGTTTGAATGCGATAGTCCACATTCGCCTTCACAAACCTCCATGTTTAAAGTTGCAAAGCTTGTAGACAGTTATCTTGCTGAGATCGCTCCTGATGCTAACCTTGACCTTTCTAAGTTCTTGCTTATCGCAGAAGCCTTACCGCCTCATGCTCGTACCCTTCACGATGGTTTATACCGTGCCACTGATCTCTACCTTAAAGTAAGTTTCTACAAGAAAACTTTTTACTTTCCTCTTGTTATGTTGATACTTAAACTTAGGCTTTATGCTCTCAGGCACATCAAGGGTTATCAGATTCAGACAAGAAGAAGCTGTCAAAACTTATTGACTTCCAGAAACTGTCACAAGAAGCTGGAGCACACGCTGCGCAGAACGAGCGGCTTCCTCTGCAATCTATAGTTCAAGTTCTCTACTTTGAGCAACTCAAGCTTCGAAGCTCCTTGTGCTCTTCTTACTCAGACGAAGAGCCAAAGCCAAAGCAGCAGCAACAACAGTCATGGAGAATCAATAGTGGAGCTCTCAGCGCAGCAATGTCGCCCAAAGACAATTACGCGTCTCTGAGGAGAGAAAACCGGGAACTGAAGCTCGAGTTAGCTAGGTTGAGAATGAGACTCAACGACCTAGAGAAAGAACATATCTGTATGAAGAGAGATATGCAGAGGTCTCATTCGCGCAAATTCATGAGCAGTTTCTCAAAGAAAATGGGGAAACTTAGCTTCTTTGGGCATAGTTCTTCAAGAGGATCAAGCTCTCCATCAAAGCAGTCTTTCAGAACAGATTCAAAGGTGATGGAAAGAACTTGCGCAAGCACAGATTAGCTCAGGTTATATCATTTTCTCTTACCTGTTGGTGCTTTTTAAGCAAGTGCAAAGACAAGACTTGAGATTAGTGTGTGAGTGAGTGATATTTTCAACTATCGAGTTCGACTTTGTAAATGGATTTGATTGATATAAGACAACAAAGGTAGATGACTTAAAATCAAAGGTCTCTCAGTTGATTGCAATAGAGAATATAATGATGTCTTACAAGACAAACAGAGGTAGAGACAGAGTTTAACCACGTCGTACACAAGAATTCACTTAGGCCACAATTCAATCTTCAAGAAGAAGGAGTCTTGGTCTTAGTGTAATACCGGATGCCGAAAGCCAACCCTAAGATTAGAAGAGGAACAAGAAACTGAAGGAGCTTAATGACAAAATCCGAGCTCTTATCCTGATTAGCCTCGACTGTCTTCGAAGTAGGAGGCACAAACTTAGCTTTAACTGGGACAGTAGCTGTGTCAATATCACCCACATAGTACTCATCTAGCATGGCTTTCGCAGTCGAACTATGTCCCACATCCTCGAAATCATCAGTCGCATCTTTCCCTGAATACCAACACATTCTTGTAAACATAAACATGAACTAACATAACAAACCAAGAAAGTGATCTCTATATGTTACCTGTAGAAGTCAAGATAACCTCATCACCACCAGGATGATCATCCAAGAACTTTGTCACATCATAAACCTATATATAACCATCAAAACGAAACACACACAAAAAAAATGTAAACTTTGTCATTATCGTCTCTAATTCCACACAATCAGAGACATAAATCAAGTGGGTTTTCAAATTTTCACACATCAAACCATATATGAACCTCACCACTACTAGCTTTAACCACAGATACAAGATAAAAAAAAAGACCATAGAAGTGGCTTCTTAAGCATCACCAACAATCACATTCAAATAAGAATCTACCAAAGAGTAAACTAACATAAATCTCGCAAATTAGATCAGATCTATCCACAAAATTGTTACCACATAACTCAAGATTCATAAATCTAAGTTAACACAACTTCAGAATTTCGGTTCTCACGAAGATTAGATACAAAATCGGATCATAAAATCTAAGGGAAAACGAATGAGAAATAGAGATCGGAGATAGGACCTTGCCGTCGATGACGATCCAACAATCCTGGGAGCTACTGTGCTGAGAAACTTCGGCCAAGGTGAAAACTTTGCCGTCTCCGCCCATCTCCGATGATGATCTGAAGAAGGATTCTGGTGAGTGGTGAGAGTTGAGAAGAGGAAGAGTATTATTAAATTGGGAATCTGATTTGGGATCTTTTACCAACCGCTTTTTTGGTCTACTTTTAAGTAGTCCCCTAAAAATCGCTAGGCGCTAGTCGTGCGCTAGGTAAGGGCCTAGCGATTAATCGGAAAATCGGATTAAAATCGGAGATTAATCGGAGATTAGTTTTAGGATTATTTTAATATTTTTAAAACATATTAATCAAATATTGTTTTCAAAATTGCAGTAAACACATAAAACTGTATTTTTGAGATAAATTTTTATGATTTTTATTACAAATTTATTATTTTTATTAAAATTTGAACATAAGTTATTGTAAAACATCACAAAGTCCCAATTTAAATGATTGAATAACAAAAATAAAAAGTTTTTTACACTTGTAATCTAAAAATAATCGAGATATGTAAAATTAGGCGAGGAGTAATCGGATTAGGCGGGAAGTAATCGGATTAGGCGGAGAGTAATCGGGTAACTGATTTTTTTAGGGGATTAGTCATTAATCGAGGCGGATAGGGTGGGCCTAGCGATTAAGCGGGGATTAATCGGGTCTAGGCGGGGATTTTTAGAACAGGGCTTTTAAGTGTATGATCTCATCTATGGGGTAGGCAAATTAATCAGTGGCCAATAAGGCAATAATCATCAATTAATCAAAGATTCCGTTTTCTTACTTATTTTTAATATTTAATTCATGTGAAAATTATAACTATTTATAAATTCATTAAAAAAAAAATTGTATGTTTTACTTTCATTTCTAGAATTTTTTTTATAAATACATGAAATGGTCACTTTAAACGTTTTTGATCGATGTTTATACTAAAATAATGTTAAGTTTTAGGTTAACCGATTCTAACATTAATTTAGCCAAAATCCAAAGGTTTGGCCGTTTGGGTGGTTTTGTCCTCTTAATTAGTGATATTATTTTCCTCAGTTGAATGGTCTATTTGAATGTAGATGACTCGTTTAGAGGTAGTTTAACGGATCAGTTAAATGTATCCGTTGAATGAGTATAAAATTTATCTAAAAACCCCAAAAAAAATCCAGCTGATTTTCAACGGTGCATTCACATGTATCTAATCTCTTCTATTTACTCAAGTTTCTTATGCTAATCTATTTGTTCGGCCATACCATTTTAATTGAGCCCACCCATTCACTCAGTCAACGAGATCTTGTTCTTTCCTTCAGTTGTCCATAGTAGATTGTTTTTTCATGAACTAGCAATATTGACATGATGATTTATGGGAGGGAAAAATTTGGGGTTGTTCTCCTAAAAACTTTCTAACGCTTAAGTTCAAAAGGGATAAAGTGATTGAGCACAAGGTCGAGTTTAACAAAAAGAAGAAGTGTGGGTTTAGTTATATGCTATATTTATAATTTATATGATCATAAGCCCAATTTGTTGGTTTATGAGTTTAGAAAGAAATGATGAAGAGAAAGAGATTTTTTTTGAGGTTGGAACTCTCTAATAGTTAGATATGATAGAGAGAATTATTCACGGTTGTCTACAGTTTTGTGATGCCTAAAGCCAAGTCCGGCTCAAATTTTTATAAGATCCAGAGCTAGAAAAAAGTTGGTTTCAATATTACTACATATTTAAAAAAAAGTGGCCTTTTTGACTAAAGAAAAAACCCAAAAAACTGATGGATTATGTGCTACTGCACCAGTTGCACATGCAAATAATCGGGCCTGCCTAAAGCCCACTAAAATTTGATGTCCATTTTTCTAAAGAAAAAAAAAAACAAAAAATTCTAAAAATTTTATAGAACCGGATTCAAATTCGCCGCATTTTATTTGTTTAACATATAACTACCACTGAACCATAAGACATTTTAGTAAATATGATGCCCCTAAAACGTAAAATATATATTGCTGCCTTAAGCACTTGTTTGATGGGCTTTAGGTCTGACCTGACTATAGTCGTATATTTTGATAAGGGAGAGCCCTCACATGTATGAATCTTTACATTTTATATTTAGGGAGAACATGAATCTTGTTTTCTTGATCGAGTGAACAATAATCATCTACTTGAAAAAATATTTCTCTATGTGAACCTTGTAGGCGTAGTTTAAAATGTATTTATAGAAAACTACCTTAATCTGATCTTAGAACTGGATATTTCTGTAATCAGTTCAAATGTCCCTAGAGCCCGACTCTAGAGTTCTTTCGGCGTATATAGTCTATCTGACTTTACTTGATGGAAGTAGGCAAATCACCCCTTAATAATATATACCTCGCAAAAACTTGCAATTTGCAATGCTTTGTCCAATAAAACTAGTATTATTTCATTTATATATCTTAAATTTAGTATCTACTAGACTCACGAATTTCTAAACGCCAAATACACAAGAGAACTCAGTTGTTTTGCTTGAATTATTGAGTTCTTTTTATGCTTATTTTTGCTCGCGTTTTTGTAAAATAATTAAGTAAAACCAAACCGAACCAAAACTGATTTCGGTTTGTAAAACCGTGTTTTCGCGAGTCGAAATCTGTGATGCTTTGTCCTCGGGTTGAGATTCACATTTTTAAATTTTAATGCATGTTTTGGTGGCTCACATTGCAAGGCCTATGGTTGGTGTTCAACGAGAGAAAGAAACTATACCTAACAAGTTAAAGACATTGATTTTGAAGGATTGAGCCAAAAAGAGAACGAAAGAGAGCTAGAGAAGAAGAAACAAAAAGACAAAAAGCTTTCGTAATCAGTGCTCCTCCTTTTTTTGGCTTTACTCGACCAAATAGTTAAAAAGAGTCAAACAAAACATTGAAACAAGCTGAATTCAGATACCCCATTGGTCACACAGTTGATGTAAGCGAATCTATGTGTCCCAAAAACATGATTTTTCTAGTCAGTGAGCCCGTGATCAAACAAGAACCCGTGTACATACATCACCATGTGTATGTATGTATTCATGTATGTATGTTAAAGTTTCATGCATTCACTTTTTTTCACTTCGAGAGATTAAAGAAAAACAAAGAACAATGATTGGGTTTGAGATAAGATTTTCACAGTTTTATCACATTGGTTTTTGCAAATTTCCAAGTGACGTTAAAAAGTTAAAACAACAGAGATCTTCTCAATGGACACTGTCTCATCTTTTTGTCAGTTTCTTGTTAATAATAATTTGATATTCAAGATTCAAAACACTCTTATCTCTTTACTAATTACTACAAAACTCACCCTTATGTTCATACTTTGATCTTACATTACAATATTCCAATGTATACGTCAAAGTATTTACACACATTCACGTGCGTCATAATTATGGTAAGAGAAGAAAAGGGACCAATCTTGTACACTTGAAAGAAAAGGATATGATTCAGATTTTTGCACCTACCAAAATTCACACGTGAACCTCCCAATTGGGTCTCTTTCTTCTGCATCTGAAATCATTTTTTTTTTCACTATATGCCAAGCTTTAACATGTTCACACACATCCCCATCAATCATCATCATTACATAAATTTTTGAATAAACATGAGGGAGAGATAGAAAAAAAAAACACTTGAAAGAAACAGATGAGAAAATTTCACTAAGCATCTGAAGATTAGTAGTACAAATGGTGTGAGGTTTTCAAGGTCCCTAAGCTACTTTCAAACTTGTTCTCTAACCACATTATTACTTAAGATTACATGATTTTTGATGTTCGGTTAGTCTGTTAATTCCATCACATTCTCTAACTTCACACCATGTCTTTTGGAGCTGTTTCCTTTTGAACTTCATGGATTGACTTGTACCCATTCGTATCGTCCGCTGAGGGGGATTTCATTCACAATGTCGAAGTTGTACCTGAAGAATATCGAAAACTCATGAGTGTTCGTTCATCCTCTTCATAATGACACAAAATAAAATAAAGAACAAGCTTACTTCTCCATGAATAGCCTCTGTTGTTGCTGCTCTGCATAGGCAAAAAACTCCTCCAACTCACTAGTGGTCGGGATCACGCTATCTCGGTCCCTTGTGTACTCTTTGGTTGCTCTGCACATCGACCTTGTGCTAGACCCTGGTGTAACCATGATCTCCAGATCCTCAACAAAGTTACAAGGCGTGCTCTCTCTTGTGCTACAGAAAAAAACAATATAACAGAACTTCAATAACATTATCACCACAAAGACACTTAACCAAATCAAGAATCAAACCAAAACTAAACATCCAGAAGAAAAAAGACGCCTGATTTAAGTAAACAACAAAAGCTAGAGACTTTCTGAGTAATATGGTCCCATAAGATTATAACAAGGAAAGGCAAAAACTACATTGTCAACTAGCAGCAGGACGGTTACCCTAAAAAACAGAGTATCCTACAAAAGTATTCCCCAAGTATGCAAAAACCACTAGGTCCCATGAACATGACACCACAGTACTTGCATTACACTTATGAGGAAAGTCTCATTTCTCATATAATCTTACACATTAAAAGCTTCTGACCTTTATACAACAACCCACTTTTGTAAAAACGAAAACCATGTGTTTAAGTTAACCCAAGAAAAAATTGTATCCCCAATGTATCAATCACTTCTAAATGCCATTAGACCATTTAACAAGGAGATTCAAAAGGTTCTTAAACTAACATAACAATGGCATTCACCAAATTTGTAACAAATAATGAAATATGTATAATTAAAATAGCTTTAATACATTCATTGATAACCTCTGCAAAGAAGTACACATGGGACATACATCAATAAATCTGAAATTATGTAAATCTAACACCAAAAGAGACTTATACGGTGAAGCAGTTATTACAAAATTCAGTACATCATAAGAGAGTCAATTCATTAACCAAAGGTCCAAAACCAAACCAATAAGGGAAACATAAAAAACCTATTTTTTTCTTGTACTAAACTATTTTCATCCCCAAACAAAAACTAGACCTTTGATTTGAAGCAAACAACAAAAGTTTCAGAGATTCAAAACTATGTAAGACTCAAAACTAAGATTATTGGATAAGACAGAACACACAAGTCGAATTGGTAAGAAGATAAAATTAGGGCACAAAAAAAAAAAACCAACGAACCTGTGTCTTGATTCAAAATCGAGACTGTTCTCACCACAAGAAACTTGGGCACTCACGAAATTATCAAAACATTCATCTCCATTAGAGCTCTGAGCTACAGGAACCGAGTCAACCGAGTTAACCGAGTCAACGCGAGACCTTGAACCAGACTCTTTGATTCCAGATTTGTGAGCTCTCGGCGGCTGTTTCGGTTCAATCAGCGACGAGGGTTTCTCGAGACGGCGGCTACGGAGCTGAAGATAGCAAGAAGAGTCGTTAGGTAGAGCTGAATCAGCGGCGGAGGAATTAAGCCGCTTCAAAGCTAGGGTTTTAGCGGCTCTGGTTCGAACACCTGGAGCTGTTGCCCTAGAGACCTCCATGACACTGATATCGCCAGTAATCTTGGATTTCTTCATGTATTTCCCCATTTTTGAGAGAGGGAAAAAAGCTTGAAAGCGGAAAGAGAAAAATGGGAGGGAAAAGCTTTGAGGAAGGAGAAGAAGAGGGAAAGTGAGAAAATGGGAAAAAGGTTTTCGAGAAAGAAAGAAAAGGAGAAAGAAAAAAAGGGTTTACCTTTTTTTAATATAATTGTCAAAAACAATGAAATATTTTTATAATTAATTTTAAATAAAACCTCAAATTAATCATTGTTATTTTTTTTCATGTGTTTTTTGTAATAAAATCGTCAATTATTTATTTTTGGTTTATCAATAATTTTTGTGACGAATAAACTTAAATTCATCATTTGACTAAAATTTAAACTTCTTAAAAATTGAAATTGCTTATTAGATTCATCATTTGACTACGAAATTTTCTACAAACTATAACATATGAATCTACAGCATATGAATCTAATTTTTTTAATCAAATTTTATCAAATAATTTAGTCAGAAAAAATATTGAAACCATATAAAGTTAATAGTACATAATTTTTACATCTATATCAATAAACCACTAGTTACATACATTTACATATAAGATGAAATAGTTTTGTGAACAAGAAATTATTATTGTGCAAAAGAATAACTATTAAGCTTACGTATTTGAACATGATATTTTTTTCTTTAAAATTGACAAACTTTTTTCCAAAAAATCGAGTCAACTGAAATTGCACTAAAAATTTGCTAAGTTTATAATTTTGGTATGTCATGATTTTTATTTCTCTATTTAACAAAAAAAAATCCATGACTATTTTTCATAGTTAAATTACCATTTGGACTAACGCGTATTACATACGGCTTTTCTATTGGATATACATGTTTCTTCAAAAAAATAATTTCTCGTTTATTATTTTTATCAAATATATTAATCATAAAAATGTATTGAATTTTTTTTTTATTGAAATCATATAAAGTTAATGGCACAGACTTTTTATTTTATTTTATATCAATAAATCACTAGTAAAATACATTCACATATAAGAGAAAATGTTTATGTGAATAAGAAATTATTCTTACATTATGCACACGAATAAATATTAAACTTACGTATTTAAACATTATATTTTAAAAACAAACATTGATATAAAATTTTTTCAAAATTTCTAGTCAACTCACATTTCACCAAAAATCACCAATTTTGGTATATTATTATCTAATTTCTCGATTTAACAAAAAATATCTGCGACTATTTTTTTCATTATTAAATTACCATTTGGAACCATAATCAGTTATATACATTTCTATCTTTTAAAATTATTTAGTCAATCAATCATTATTACATAAAAAAGTTTCATCATTTTAACGCGCATTGTACACGGTAACACACGGCTTCTATATTTTATATAAATATATGATCCGATAATGGTTTACAGAGAAGAAAATAAACAATTTCTTATTTACCTTAAAACATGAAAACAAAAAATATTTCGATAGGATTTGATAAAACACGTTGATAAAAAATTCTATGGAGATTGATGTAAGAACCATAAAGAGATGTCTACCTATACTCATCAGCTACTAGTGTTGACCGCTTCTTGTGATGAATTTCGATTCATTGGCGTTTTGGTGGTATATGTAAAGAAAGGTATGATTTTGGTATTGAATTTTTGATCTACCATCAAATCTTCAATATTAACCCTCATTTGTTTGCTAACAACATTTATTTTGCGGGATATAATCAAAATGTGACGTAGCGATTGGACTATGTCACGTATATAATACCAATCGAAACCTTTAAGAGCGAATCATCTGCAACATGTTACTACGGAGAAGAGCAAGCTAGAACGAGGCAACAAAGATGAAGGTATGTATCTGGTCCATTATAAATTAGGATAATATTATAATTCATGATTCGTGATCCAATATGAGATTTGCTCTAATCCGTTTTAAAATTTAAGAAATCAGGAGGAATCGGATCATGATTTGATTTAGATCCGTCAAAATCATGATCCAGAGTTCATGACTCCGTATATCGAATATCAAGATATGATCTTTTTTTTTTTGGTAAGAAAGAGGGAGGCTAGCTCCCATTTATTAAAAAAACAGAATACAACTACGAGCGGACTCGTCTTGGGCGCGTAGACCCAAGATATGATCTGTAATATATATTAAAAATATTATTGGACTATTACTATATTCATATTTCATTAAAAATATTTAATAATTATTAATAGTGTTTTTTTAGAAAAACAATTTCTTGGGTAATCGATGTTTAACAAAATTTCTCACTTTTATTTTGTCCCACATTGATTATATTGAGCATCTCCAGAAGCTTGAGATGTTTATAAGGTTGCTACTTTTGACTCTCATTGTAGTACGGAGTTTACACATTCGAAAGCTAGGGGTGTAACGGCTCCGAATTTTAACTATATGGATAGGGATCCATGCCTCACGGATATCCGAAATTCGGATACCTTCTCAAACATCAAAATATCCACGAATATCCGGATTCATAAAATACATTTAAAATATTAAAAATAATGATAAAATCAAAATTTTTAATAATATATTATTAGAAAAATGAAAATCTTAGATTATATAAATCTTTTAAATTTATTAAATTAGTTTTAATATAAATCATAATATATTATAAAATTTTACAATATATATATATATATATATATATATATATATATACTTATTTAATGTTATTTAAGGATCAAGATCCTGATATGTTGTCCTTAAAATCAGGATATCCGTATCCGTAAATTCTTTCTCCGGATCCGGATCCGTCTACCTAGGATATCCAGTTTTCCGGATCGGATTGGAGAGAATTCCGGATCGGATTGGAGATCCCGAATAATAGTGTCATGCCTATCGAAAATCCATATATCTAAAAAAGTTAATGGCAAACTATATTAAAAGTTTAGGTTTTTTTTTAATTACATTTACTCTGATCCGAATTTGGATAATTAAACCATAAATTTGGATATCTGATGTGTAGATAATTGGAAACCACGGATTTGGATCTAAATATTTCAAATTTCCTATGTTATAAAACAAAAACAAATCAATTATGATTAGCTGAAAATCCATTTAAGATAATTCGAAAGTCCAATTAAATCCATATAGTGTTTGTTGACTAAGATTCCTAGTCCATACTATTAACCACATAGTCTCCAATTATTAAGCTCAAACATTAAGATTTATTTCATTTTGAATAAATAATAGAGTTTTGCGTGGCATAGATTTTTTTCTATTTAGAAGTAAAATTTACAACCAAATTTACCTTTTTTCTTTCATGAGAAATTTTTTTTTGGAGTTTTATTTCAAAGAAAAATAAAAAAAACTTAGATTTATTTTTGTTTAGTATTTTTACAAAGTTCAGTATATTTCATAAATTATCTATTGAGAATTTACTTGTATTTCACTTTGAATTATAAACTATGTCTAAACTGCATCATATCTATGTCCAAGAACACATGTATATCTTATTTGAACTTAAATTATTAGGAGGCCATTATTAGAAAGCTACAGTATCATCTATGTTTATTATGTTCTTGGTTTTATTTCCACCGCTAGGTTTAGTGAAAACAAACTCTTTCTCTCTAGCTTTTAATATTCTTTGTGTTGCGCTTGTATCACTTTTGGAATTTGTACTAGAAAACTGAGTTTAGGAGTTTAGGAATTTGCACAAAAAAAAAAAAAAAAAGGAATTACATTTTTCCAAATTGACTCCAATGTGAAAAATTTAGCAATCTTGAAACTGTTTGCTCTAGCAAATTCTTTCCAATTTTTTCCCAAACTCATTCTTCCAGTGCTTTCTAATAGAAGATTTGTCTACGATGTTTCATCTTTTCCAACAAAGTTATCATCCTAGTTTAATTCATGCCAATTTCTCTCATGAATAGCAATGGTGAAGACTCTAAAAAAGATTTGACGTTAATTTTGTTGGAAACAAATGGTATAAAGTAGATAGAAAATTTTCTACAAAAAAAACATGAAGAATTAGTGTGGAAAAGGGTTGAGAAAATTTTTCTAAAGGAAACGGTTTAGAGATTAGTAACTCTTTCATAATGGATGAGTCAACTTGGAAATATCCAACCCGATGCTTAGAGTTTCGAGTACATAGTCCGAAAGTGATACAAGGCAACAAGAAGAGTATTTTTAAAATCTAGCAAGTAAGAATTTGTTTTCACGGTACTTAGCAATAGAGACAAAACCGGAAATTAAAAACTAACCATAGAGGAGATGAGTAATTCATCTATAATCATCTACAACCAATTTAAGACATTAGCACAACAACAATGGTCATGTTCTACTAAGAAATAAAGATCCAGTGTAGCTTTCACAAAAAAATCCAAATTACAATGTCGATATCTATGCTGAGAAAAATTAGAGTAGCAGAGGTAGACAAGCTTTGGTGTGTCAAGTGAAACAAAGCGAAGACAATCAACATCATGAACACGTTTATAAATGATGGAGAGTCTACTCTCCATCATTTATAAACGTGTTCATGATGTTGATTGTCTTCCCTCTGTTTCACTTAACACACCAAATTTTGTCTACCTCTACTACTCTAGTTATGCTCAGCGTAAGTATCGACATTGTAACTAACAAGAATCACATCAGAGAACTCTTTTCTGCCAAACCAAAATGAATAAAGGCATAGAATCTTTAGTACTAGAAAAGACGTATTAGATGAAATATTGTCGATGCAAAGTTATGTTTCCAATGTTAGCTTAACCATTGTTTTGCTGATGAATAAATTGGATGGCAAAAGACATTGCATTTCATATTTCTATGAGCTTCGTCTTTTGTCATTCAATTCATTCATCAGCAAAACAATGGTTAAGGTAACATTAGGAACAAAACTTAGCATTGACAGTATTTCATCTAATATGTCTCTTCTATCCTCTAAAAATGTCAAAGCGTGTACGTTAGTAAGTTTGTAGAAAAATTCTCTCTAAAATGCTTTAGTTTTTAATTTGAGTTCTGATCAACAACCAGCAGTGTTTGTTCAAATATTTTGTAGCATTTTCCAAATCAATTCATGAAAGCTAATGGTATAGACAAGATTAGAGAATAACTTTGTTAAAAAATCAATTTGTATTTGTATGATAAAGCTGGGTAAAATTTTGTGAGGCTAATGGCAATGCACGAGATTGTGGTAATTTATTGAGTTACTTGTCTCCTGTATTTTAAGCTTAGTAGTCCCATAAGAAACGAAGTCAAATTTGTAACACACATACATCACCATTATTTTTCAGTTCATTGATTTTATAAGTAACTCATCTTGATCATTATCTTTGTTTCTCATGATCTCATGCGTCAATGTATGTTCAAGACTTTGAAGAATGATAGTCTTTCATCCTTGGAATCCCTTTAGGTGTTTATCATTTGCGTGTTTTTTTTTACCTCATTGAAAACTTTTCATAGAAAAATTCAATGGGATGAAAACCATGATACAAGAAAAAAGGTACATCCACGCATAAAATCATATTGTTATCCCTGAAAACATCATCTTTAGGATATGCATTATGATCATATATATTATATTTTCGACAATTATTTATATATATTCAGAATCTTAGTGAACAAACTGGTATGAATGTCATACAACCTTTAGGATCATAAGAGTTTTGGTTCTTCGTATCTCTTTTTACATCGAATAATATTTCATTTGTCTATATGAACTTCAAGTCTAAATTTCTTTCAACATATATTCTTCTAAACATTCGTCTTGTACATATGAGTTATTCATGCTCATCTTATACAACTTACTATTTTAGCTTTCTTGCTTATTATGATTCTTCTGGACTAAATATATGTGACCATTTTGCATGTAAAGTCCTGCAAGGATATTTGTAATAGCATCTCTTTTGCTAGATGTCCAATTTGAAATTCTGAGAAATTTTATGAAGACTCAGCTTCTTACACAACCTGATTTCTACGTCTTCCAGAAGAATGATTTCATCTCAAATTATTTCTTCAAATATTTCACTGTATATAAAATCTCTACAGGAGACTCGATAATGCTTGAATCATCAACATATTTTTTACTTATTCTTGTACCCTTCTTTTGACAAATACTAACTAAGGCAATTATCTTCCATCCATCCTCATTATTTCAATCCATAACAATATTGATTTAAGTTCATAAATATAGTTATGTGCTCAAGAACTAGAATTTGTTGCTTCTAGCAATAAATCCTTCAAGGCAGCATCTATCCTTCAAAGCAGATTCTATCATTCAGTTTAAGATCTTATGTGCATACTGAATCAAGTCTTTCTCACATTTTCAAATTGGTAAGGGATCTATATAGTTGCATCCACCACAAGAGAGTATGTCTTTAGAATAAATACATGTCTTTGTGAGAATTATTATGCTATTAAACATGCTATTTATCACATAATGATTCAAATGTAGGGACTACTAATCCAAATACTCCCTCTTGAAGAGATTTCTATAACTTATTTCCATGATTGGCCAATCAGCAACTTGTATATATACTTTTCAATAAACTTTTTTATTAACCGCTCAGTTCATGATACTTGATTTTCATCCATAACATCATCACCTGCTATAACGCATGCAAAAATATTTACGACGTCGATTTGCTTTTTGGTTCCTATTTATTCCGACATAACTCAACTTGTTGAGATTTCTTTTCATTATCATTCACATGTACTTGAATCTCTTTCTTACTCATATCTAAGCTCTTCTAGAGATTATTTGCTTGCTCAATGTCATATTAATTTCTGCTCCTTTTCTTTTCCAAGGATGTTATATTTGGAACTAATAAGTCTATCACACACTTCATGTAATCTTTAGGCTTACTAGCAGTTAATTTTATATTTTTAGGACATCAATTTTAATTGGAGCACAGCTGGTATATGTGACTTTGTCACTCAATGTCAGTAAATGCTTCTGGCATTTAATTTGCTAAACTTTGTAAATAAATTATCTTAAAACTTTAGTGCGCAGTCTTTTTACAAGGATCAAAATAATTCTTTCCAATTTATTTCTTTTCTAGCTGTTTACTTTCTCCGCTAATGTTGGAAAGACTGACTCACTGAAATAACAATCTCCATCTCGAGCCTTAAATAAGTTTCTCATTGATAGTTCAAGATAATCAATCATCAAGAAAGATCTATATCCAACATTACTTCAAATCCCATCTTATATTATTGTGGTAGAACAACTCTATTGAACCGAATGAAGAAAAGAAATCATTCAGGTCGAATGAAATGAAGAAAGGAAGCATTTGGATCGATAGAAATAATTCGGGTCATGAACCGCATCGCCCGTGAACGAGAGGAAGCTACCCGCGGGATGACCCGCTGTTCCATCGTGAACGAGGCAAAACTACCCGCGGGACGACCAGTGGTATGGAACATTTCGAGGCCGTCCGTACAGAATCGAGTTTCACTCGGTCCATTAGCAAATCTCATGTCCATTAAGATGTCCACACCTTCTAGAAGCATCTTGGAGCCGACCGTTTGAATATAGGACTGTTGGAGCTCGAGATCGAGTGGTTACAATCCCAATAAGTCACATGTTCTTTTAATCCATCAAGTGGACGAGACATGTCGCTTTCCTTGGACGTTTGTGTCGAGAAATATTTCATTTGTTTATTCGTTATGTTTGTCTTTAAATAGCATGCAAGTATGTAACCATTTTAATCAAGAAAAGAGAAATCTATTTCTCTCCAAACCAAACTCGCAAATCTCTCTCACTCGTTCGAAATTATTCTCACTCACTCTTTCAATTTCCGCATTATTCTAAGTCCCATTCTCACAACCAAAATTCCATATTCTTACATGGTATCAGAGCCATTAGATCCATATACTCATTCTACTTGTTCATCTTCTCAAGATCTTCATCTTCTTCATTTCATCTTTTTCTTTACCCGCCGGAGAAAAGCTTTACCCTCAAAGGAGATAACTACTTGTTGTGGGCAAGAACCACAAAAACCGTTTTGTGTAGCCGGAGACTTTGGACTCATATCTTGAAGAGTGAAGGACCAACCAAGACTCAAAGATATCTCCTTTTTATTGTCAGATCTAACTTCCTCCGAATGGATTTCATCTCTCTTTGATGACCGTTGTTGCGATAACTAGCACCCTGACTGTTGATACCTCCACACTTTCTATATTTTGGCCGTGGTTGTAGTGGTAATCGACGGTTGAGAATGAATAGTTTTTGTAAAATTCATGTTATTTTTAATATTAATCGATTTTTTTGTTTGATACTTTATTATTATTATATATACCATGTCATTGTTTTGTTCCGCACGGTATCTTTTCAAATGAAATGGTATTTATGTATATACCATGCTATTTTTGCAAAATGTACGTTATAAAATATAACTTTTTGGTAAATATCGTGCTTTAAAATGTTTCACGCTATTTGTTAAAATGTTTCAGATCTATTATTTTTTCTTCGCAAAAACTTAGGAGGGGTTATTGGTTCATGGATTTATAAGGAATTAGAAATCCAAACAAAAATCATTTGTTATTCAATCATTGATTTGAAAATCCTAATTAAAATCATGTGTTATTGGTTCTATGAATTATAAATACTAGTTAAAATCCTTTGTTATTCGTTTAGTCATTTGTTTTTGGATTTGAGAATCCAAATTATGTTTTAAATAGATTTGAATGGAATTGAAAGAGAAAAATAGAAGGATTCAAATCCATGGGTAAACACATGTTATTTCAAAATCCATATATCTTGATTTCATAATTAATAGAAATTTTCAAATTCTATATGGATTTACAAATTAATAAACCAATAACACCCCCTTACTCTTAATCAACTTCAGAACATTTTTGTCTTTTATTGTACCGTCATATGATTATTTATCCATAAAAAAACTAAAAATAATTATTTACTTAATTTGGACTCAAAATTTAAATATTTTATAATATTACCATTATTATAACCGTCACAAACACTAACAATCAATTCTAAATATCGACACATATTGGTAATTGACACACATTGACACACATACCTAGGTAGCACGTAAATTTCCTAATTTGCATAAGATATGAAGGTACTCTTTTCCAGATTAAAAAAAAAAAAAAAAAACGGAAGCACAAGAACATTTGGTAATGTTGTTGAAGCAATGGAATCAATGCCAAAACTACAAGTTAAAAATCATATTTCACCAATTTATCACTTACCATACCAGAATAATCAAAAAAAAAAAAAAAATCAAAAGAACACCAATAATGAGGTCGACGCAAAAAAATTACCATCACGGTTATATGAGATTTCACTTCCAACGGAGAGACTGTCTAATGCCGGTGAAGATGAGTCCGACTGATCTACCGATCAAGGTAACGAGAAAGAAGGATATGACGCTACTCACTTTATCCAACACCACTCTGATAATTGGCATTCCGATGTCTGATAACTCCAGAAACAGACTAAAGTAGTACCTCCTGTACACAACAAACCCTTTGTTATGTGAAATTCTCATGGAACTTTTGGTTTTGTGATCAAGGTAAAAGAAGAGAGGTTTACCATCCCGATAGAGCTTTAAGCTCCTTGGTTCGTTTAACGGGCAATGAAAAATCGCTGATTATGGAGTATCGCAAGGGTGATGATGAGGCAGCTTTAGTTTTCCCCAGTTTGAAATTTCTCCACCAACTAAGGCTTTCTGTATCGTCACTACCATCAAGGTTGTTGATAACCTGGGTTTGAAGAATGTAGAGGTCAAAGCGATCCTCATACATCGATACAACTGCTTCCATATTCTGATGCAACCACTGGTATAGAGCTACCTATCATCAACAAGAAGAAATGAAATCTTTGTCCATGAGAGATGAAATGTAAGGTGGAACTAAACAAAAGTGAAGTGGGTTTTTTACCTCGTTACGTAGTTTTTGGAGTGCTCGACTAGAAAGGCTACAGATACCTAATCCTCCACTATTCATTTCATTTGAAAATTTGCTATCTACAGAAATGAGCTCTAGATAGATGCTAGCGACCCCATCCGCCAATGTTATAATGAAGTCTTCCAAAATGGCAACTCCGTGAGTACGAAAGAAGCTAACATCGTAGCAGAAAGCTTTCGCAGGAGATCCAAATCTATGGAAATATAAAAATTCTGCAAACAGATCCTCCTTGCCTGATTTTCTTATTTTGTCAAAAATAGCGTCCTTTTCATTTAGCATTCTGATCAGCAAAGGAGTAATCGCCTGCACATCATGGGCTAGATTCGGGAGTTCATTCTAAATCTGCTCTTCATAATGAACGAAACAAAATAGAATACAATTTTGTAGCCACACTACACGTTATATGATATCTACTTACCTCAGAATCAGTGTTTCCCACAGATAGTTCCCTTTTTAGCCAAGCCGTGCATGCTGCTTGATAAGCTCTCCGAACAATTTGAGTAAAACTAACCATCCACTTTTCTGAATTGATTGTGTCAGAGATGTTATTTGTCTGAAAAGCAAATACACTAGCTGATCAGCAAGACAGCACATATGGAGAATCACATCAAACTAATGTCTTGAATGTTACTAAAGGTAGAGAATAACAAATCTTAATACTAGAGCGGAAGGAAACAATTAAATAAGTCAGTAAGCACTTGCCACAGGTAATTTGATTCATTTTAACATTGTGAAATAGACTGGTATCTGCTACAATAGAACGGACATTGATGCAATTACTTAACTCAAAGTGCACATGTTGATACACTATTTTTGATAATAAGATATGCCCCCGAACTAGAAATCAAATACGCACAAAGTGAAATACTGGAGAAAGAAGGTGCAAGCTGACCTCTTCTTCAAGTTTCTGAAAACATGACCAGAGCAAGTACAACTGAGGCCCCTCAGATATCGCATACAAACTCAATGGGGGCTTCCCTTGGGGAGGTTTGGGTTTGAGAACTTTGCTTCCAAGTGTACTCTCACGCTTGATGGCGTCTAAAGAATCTAAAAGCTTTACTTTCACTACATCCCATATAGACTTCAAATCACCCTCAAAATCTGTCTCCCTAAAGTCAATGCATAGAAGAAAGGATGTGTGTAAAATGTAAATACACAACACTATACCTTACAGCTATAATAGAACAGAGATATCATTCACATATGGAATTTTTTTCAGATGACTACTCTTACCTACCAGAAGATTCTGAAGTTCCAACATCTGGATCCTCCTCCACGATGGTACTCTTTCTCGAAGAGTAACTAGAGTTTTTTTGAACAGGAATCACTCCAGCCATATAGGTAAGAAATATACTAGCCGTCAGAAGAACTTGGTCACCAATAGGAACCCAACCAGAACCAGCAACACCATCAAAATCCGCTAGAGATGCCAAACAAGTACACTTACAAGTAGACTCTCCCCGAGAAATAGACGATCCAAGATTCAAGGAAGTATCCCTCGATATGATCTTGCAACTCCCAAAAGTCTTCCTACAAATAGAAACCATGATTTAACACAATAGTGATACATTTTTCCTTCTAAACCACTTCATATGCTAAAGAAGAGATACTGAGATCAAACCTTTGGGAAAATTTCACACGAGGAGTCGTGGAGAAGCAGTTTGTTTGACTAAAGTGAACATTGTGCATCCGTAGCTGAACGCACAATGATGGAGACACAACAACATGTCCAACCATTGGTAAATAACCTTAGAACTCACTACTAAATCATTTCCAAATCACGGGAAACAGATCCTCAAGCCCAATCTCTACATCACCAAGAAGAAAACAAAAACAAAACAAAAAAAATCAAATTCCAGAACCTAATCGAAACAAGGCTTAGCTATTGAATTTGAGGTTTGAATCTGGTTCTAGCGCCAGTGTCAGTGTCAGATAACATAGAGACAATTCGAAGAAGCACTAACTAGAAGCAAAATTAGATAAGGAAACCAATCTACTACATTGAGATTCAAGAGTCAAAGGGCGACTTCAGAGACGAGAATGACATTAAAGTAGCAAAACAAACCTCAAATTAGAAGGAATCAAGTGAAGAGAAGGACGAATTGAGGAATAGCAGAGAAGAAGAAGAAGAAGAAGAAGAAGAAGAAGAAGAAGAAGAAGAAGAAGCGGATTGGGGTTGTGCGTACGTGAAAAGTCTCTCTCTTTCGTCGTAAGCCCAACGCCAGAGATTAAACGGAACGACAAAGTGTTGAACTGTTTTGTTTCTGATGATTGCGAACAATTGGGGTGGTGGCGCAGTTGGCTAGCGCGTAGGTCTCATAGCTATCTGAGTAATCCTGAGGTCGAGAGTTCGAGCCTCTCTCACCCCATATGTTTTTTTGGGTGTTTTCAATCTTTCTTAGTGCAAAAGTGGACATTTACGTAAGCAATGCTAAAAAGATTTTTCAAGTGTGGTTTTGGTTTGGAATTATTTCAATCTACTTCATATGTCCATTGTGTTACATATGACTAGCAGAGAGCTATGTACAAGGAGCTTGTCAAAATGTTTAAATTATCTCATCTCATTCTGGAGTTATGTGTAAGATGACTCTCTTTCATAGCCAACTTGTCAAGTATACTTTATTCCTACTTGCGTAGAGAATAACAAAGCTGTGTGTAAATTCAAAACTCAAAACACTCAGGTTTGCTGGTTATAACAGAAACAACGAGAATGTTCTCTTACACATAAACACGGTGAAGCTGATAGTTTACGTTGATTCTCATCAATCTTCTCGGCTTGCGAAGAATTCAGATGCATTTTTTGTCATTCATTCAAGTCGGTTCAAAATTCACTAACTTCGAAGCTTCCAACTTTCTCATGAAGTTTGATGCATACAGTGAGATCTAGTGAGAGACATCGATCTCAATGTTGTCTATGAGCCTGACCGTTCCAAACCAAGCAGCAACACAAATCACTACTCCACTCTTTATCTCTTCCACTCCTTCAAGAGTTTCTTGGTCAACAATCTGTATATATGCACACAATCGCATTGCTCACATCAAAACCCATATGTGTACAGATTGATCCAAACAACAACTGAAATCCAAATCCACTTCCAACACGATCAAATGCTTACCTCGACATAATCTACTCGTCCTGCAGATCCAACAATTTGTTTAATGATCATATCCTTAAGCTCTGCACAACTAGTTTTCCCTTCTGCTACAGAAGCTTTAGCCATGGCCAATGACCTACTTATAGACAATGCCTGTCATATCACACACAAGTAACAGAAGCAAAGTAAGCCATTTTCCTGTTGTTCAAAACCTCAAATACACGAAATTGTTAGTTCAAATACCCTTTGCCTTTCTTCATCTGAAAGACGCACATTTCTCGAACTCATCGCAAGTCCATCTTTTTCTCTAGCTATATCTGATCCTACAATCTCAATCCCAAAATCAAGATCTCGAACCTACACAATAAAACAAGACAAACAATCTCAAATTAGTCAAGATCTACATAGAATTTGTGAGGAGATTGTGCTCAAAATCATTCCTAGTGCAAAATGTTCCCAATTCTCACCATTCTCTGAATAATCCGCCATTGTTGATAATCTTTTTTACCAAACACAGCAACATCAGGCTCAACAATATTAAAAAGCTTAGTAACAATAGTGGCAACACCTCTAAAGAACACAGGCCTACTCTTCCCACACAAACCTTTCTCCAATCTCTCAACCCTAATCCAAGTCTCATGCCCTAACCCACCTTCCTCTACACAACTCACAACCCTCCCACCACCACCACCACCGTCATTTATCTTCTTCGTCTCACCACCGTAGTCATAGAGGTTTTTGGGGTTAAAGACGACGACTTTACCACCGGAAATAGCCGCGAGCTTAACGAGATCGCCGGAGAAATCAGATGGGTATGTGGAGAGGTCTTCAGTGGGAGAGAATTGGCCTGGATTGACGTAGATTGAGACGACGGTGACGTCAGTGAGGGTTAAGGATTGACGAACTAGAGATAAGTGACCTTCGTGGAGGTAACCCATTGTGGGTACTAAACCAATGGTCTTGCCTTGTGATCTCATGGCTCGAGACCATTTTCTCATCGAGCCTTTGTCTTTGATTACTTCTGGTTCCATTGTCGGAGATTAGAGATCGTCTTCCGACGAGTGTTTCTCGTAAAGAAGATAAATGGAATTATCTAAACCCAAAATAAATAGCAAACCAAAATTAACCAATCATATAGTAAAATCTATGGGATTTGATGATTGGTTAAACATAAACCGAATTTGAATTTTCTTGAAGTATTCCTGTTTGTTTTGGATAGATTTCTCGAACCAAGCTTGTAGCCGGTTTGAAAACATGGTTACATTCTTCACATAAAATGTCGGTTTTGTTGGTAATCATGTACGGTTGTGATATAAGATGTACCGTTTTGACAGTTACCAATCACAAAAGCGTTACTAAAAGCATTACCAAAAACGTTATTCTCAACTTTTTCGTACATTTTTATGTACCACTTTTTCTTACAGTTTTGCATTGTTCCGTAAAAGTTTACCACTCCAGCTTTTGGCTAAAAATTTTGTACAGCTTTGTGTTTTTCATTCTATTTTCGCTAAAAGTATTCTTGTATTCAGGATACTGAGAAATTTTGCAAAATCTTGGAAACTTAAATGACTTTATTCCCATTATTATTGTTGTATATACAAAGTCACTATAGAGAAACATAACACATATTTACCAACTCATCAAAACTATAAAGCAGCAAAGGTATATGATACATAAGAAAACACAAAATGAATAAACTAGCAAACTAATGTATTTCTAAAAGACGAGATCTGTTCGAAGATTGGGAGTCTCTTCGATTTAAAACTAGTGGATGTCATCTGTTCAAGCCCAAGAACAAAATCATCGTCTAAAATATTCCCCAAGACATCCTCCATCTCAGCATCTCGCATCCGTGGTAGCGAAGACTCTAATTCACTCAGAAGCTCTTCGGCCCGTTGCCTTGTTCTACAATCATCCGCACCCAAAACCCTAGACTCGAGAACATCGTCAAGAATCAATCTCCCCTCCTCAAACCTGCCTTGTTTGATAAGGCACATCGCTAAGTTGCACGATTTGTTTGCATCTGGCTCAACCATCTGGGCTTTTCTGTATACCGCTTCTGCCGACAAGTACTTGGCTTGTTGCATATATGCCCACCCCAAGTTACCCTGTATATGAGTTCCAATAAAATCAATCAGTCCATTGCCAAAAAGAACACTAAGTGAAATTAGAAACAAATCGAGTTGGCCAAATAGTTACATACCAGTAATCTTGAGATTTCTTGTTGAACGGTCACTTGAAACTTTTTGCCGTGAGAGCGAGCGGTCTTGGTGGGTTTACCATTGAAAGCCTCCCCTTGATAGATCTGCCTTAGCTTCCTCTTCAACAACTCAACTTGCTCCTCCATTCTCCCGCATTTCTATTCATAGTAAGAAATTGCGCCGTGTGAGTGTTATAATAAAGGACTATCGAGAGCAATCTTAATTTGTAGTGTCTATTTAAAATCCAAAACTAAATTATGTTAGCGAGTATGGTTATAGTAAGACCTTGTATAAGTCGATGAGGACATTGTCAAGGGAATCTTGGGAGTTCTTGGAACAACGAGGACGGAATGATTTGATAGCTTCAATAGCTTCTTCAGAACGGTCAAGTTGTTTCATTACAACAGCCATGTCCTTGAGAGCACTGTCTACTCTGTCTCCAGTGTTGATGGCTTTCCAAAACCACACTATTGCCATCTCCGGGTTCTTCTCTATCAACTGCAACCAACATTAAGACATACTATTAATTATTAATAACCTTACTTACCATTCTCATCTAGAAATACATTAATGTATTTGACCAATTAGGATATGATGCGATGGACCAATTAAAAATGTGAAGAATAATATTCTTTGAAACGTAGAAGACTTTTTGCACTATTGTTAGGGAAAGTAAACGAGAATCCGGACCGACCGGTGCGACGAGTGACTCTCATACGCACACGGCAACATCTAGACTATAAATTGGAACAATTTACTTTTTTTTTTTGCTAAATCAGCTAAAAATAACTTCAACTATGGAATAAATTGAGACTCGTTATTATTTGAAATTAAATTTAAAAATTACTTTCATTTTTCCATCGGTCGATTTTTCACAACTGTCCCTTTTTTAACCGAAAATTAGCTCATACATTTTTTTCCTACTAAAAGTTACATACAAAACTTTTTGGTTAGATTATTTTTTGGTGTTGACAAAAAAAAAGATTATTTTTTTGGTTAATTTGCTAGGTAACTAAGTTTTGGGAGAACACTTTTAAAAATAATGTAGTGGCAAAATTGTAAATAATTGGATATTAATTTCGCGCATGTTTTTTTCTTTTAAATTATGTGATACCGTGTAAAATAAAAATAGCATGATATTTGTTTAAAACATATGAAAACTTTATTCCAGTTGTTTTCGCTATTTTCATATTTTCTTTTGCAGATAAACCTGAGTAACATATATATATAGAACATATATATATATACTGTTTTTTCTTTTTTACAAGATCACCTAAAATTTTCTTTTAGCATGTTTATTAGGTAAATTATCTATTTTTTTAGGCAAGAAATGCAATAACATCCAATCCAAATTACACCAATATGCACACCAAACATAGCTATTTCTACCTTGAACAATATCTTCTACCATCACTAATTTCGTTACTATCAAAGCCCATAAAAATAAAATTAAGGACATAGATTTAACATATGAAAGAATGAGTAACCTTTCAAAATTTGGAGATTCATAAACAACAACACGAAAAAAAAAAACAACAAATCAAGAATTGATAAAGAATCTGGACCTGAGCATGTTTGGCTCTGACATAAGGAGTATCTCCACAAGGAACTTTGTGAATCACATGAAACATTTCATCATCTTTCATAAGATTGCTCTTTATCGAGTTGTTGTAATTGTTCTTCATCTTCTTCAAGCTTCTCTCCATATTTTTCTCTGTTTCTCTCTTTCTCTGAATAATTAATTAATTATACAGATGTGTCTATTGACAGGCTGGGAAAGACAACCTCTGCACTAGATCTTAAATATGCGTACGTTTGTTACTGTAAGAAATGAATTTGGACAATATTTCGTCTCTGTTCATAGAAGCTGCCACGTCACTTGAAGACTTCTTACCACGTAGGTGAACGAGCAAAACGTGTTGTTTTACTATTGCCTTTGTCTTTTTCTACATTTTTGGTGTCTTTTATGTATAAATTAGCTTTTTAACCGTCGAAAGATTCTATTACGGTGTAGCAAAAAAAAAACAAAAAACTCTCGATGTTCTTGCACACATCAATTCTGACTTTTCGGTCAAATACTTTAGCTAAACTCGGTTTCAGCTAAAATTAAAAACTTATTGATTTAGTTTTTTTTAAGAAAAACGCTAATTCATATACAAATTTTATGATTTGGTTGCTATGTGTATTTTAGTTCTGAAGTTTTGTAAAGTTGTACACAAATTATATAATTTGGTCTGATCTTGACCAAATTGTCTAAATTTCTACACTCGCTTCCAATGGGATACATGTGGTGGGATGCATCCGTTGACATCATCAGTAGGCGGGACAAATGGTGCCACAACTGTTCCATTTATGGCAGAGAAGTTTGCGGTGGGCTCAAGATCTCATGGCTCGGAATTTGACTAACAAATTAAATGAGAATATTTTTTTGAAGTAAATACTTTTAGAGTTAATTAGCTGAGAGACAACCATGTTTGAGGAAATAAAATTTTCGGTAATATGAGCCGGAGTCCAAAACAATGAAAATCTTAGCCTATCTTTATTCCAATTTTATTCTTACGCGTCAGAGCAATCTGATCCAAAAAATAGACCATTACATGAGACGATGTAGAGAATTTATGTCGTTTTCGAAGTAGTAAAGCGTGTATGTCTCGTCTGACCCTTGGTTATCGTCTGACTCTTGGTTACCATTATACATTTCTGTATTTGTATACATGTTCATTCATTAGCTATAAATATCTATATTTATAAATACATGTGTACTTATATAGTGAGTAGTCAGTCAACTATGGTAATCCAAGGTTTTATACATGCTCTTGTACTTGTTTTCATGGAGACTGTCCCAACCGCGCTTTCAGCAGTTGGTGATGGAACCAACCCAAAATCTGGCAATGAAGATGTCTTTCCTGTAACTTATTTGAAATTAGACAAAGTATGAAACCTAGATGGATAAGATGAGATATATTATACATTCATGTATTTATATACATGTTTATTCATTAATCAGAGGTATCTATATTTATAAATTAAATGCACATATACTTGCTTATGTACTTCTACATATACAATGAGTTTTACTCATGTTGTTAAGTATGTAGACGTATATATTAAAATGTGGATGTCTAAGTACATCTTATGTTGGACATGCACAACTGGAAGTTCGGTGGTGGGCCATGTAAGGGTCATTTATTAGTTCAACTGGTTGGCATTTATGAATTGTCAGAATATTCTTTCGGTTACTCGTAAGACCGTGTTGGTACCGCCCACACTCATGCATTTCACGAGCTTTGGTTTTTCTGTAATAAGTATGTAAACTAGACCATTTTCACCAATTATTATTCTCTCCTCTGAGAAATTCAACTATAATCTCGAATTCCTAATTTATGTTCTCATTTTTACTTATGCGCTAATTCACTCTTTTTAAAAAAGGTTATTCTTTTCTTTTTTTTTTGTTTGCAAAAGTTTTGTTTTTCATTCAATCACTCAAATTTAATACAAAGCTTATGAGAATAGACATTCTCAATGTTTGATACAACAAAATTAAAATCAATAAAGTATAAATACGATAATCCGACGATAGTTCCATGAAAATTTGGAGACAAGGGTTGTAGAACACAATGCCACATGCGAGAAAATGGTAAATCGGAGACACAACCATAGACAATCCGGGAAGTGGAAAATTGATCATTATCGCAAGACATAGTGACGTTGAGAATGATTTTGTAGCTTCAAGACTTGCTGGCACAAGAAACATTACATAACAAGGTAGTAAAACGATTAGGAAGATCAAGCAGTTTTGCGGCTTACAAAGCGGAAACCTAACACATTTCTCTCTATAAAAGAAGAAAGGGTGACAAATGTTCTCTCCATCAAAGAGGAAGGCAGAGCCAAAGCTTGATTCATTTGAAGTGATTTATCTCTAAATAACAAATTTTCTGCTATTGAATCATGAATTTTAAAATTTGTTCTAAAATCATTTATTATTGAACTAATGATTTCAAAAATTACTTTAAAATCTACTGTTATTAAAAACATTTCAATCATTTTATTTAATGATTTAAAAGATTTAGATGATTTCCTTGGTTAAAAACACATTGATCTAACTCTCATGGTTTTATTTGGGGTTTGGGAGGATTTTACAAGAATCATAACAACTTCCCTAAATTCATCCAAAATCATATAAAAACTCAATAAAACTCAAATCATTTAAAATATAGAATTCAATACACCTCCTTATTTTTTTTATGTCAAATATTTGTTTTATCTTTATTTTATTTATAACTATAATTTATAATACATTATATTAATTTAAAAGTATATATTCAAAATTCGCATAATCATCACAATTACAATTTTTGTGACGGTTAGTGACGATGATCCCCTGTAACCAAGACTTGTAATTCAAAACTTGCACAACTGTAGGAACATAGTTACAAAAATAAAATTTTGTGACATATACCGAGTCGATTATCCATCGTAAACGCGATAAAACATTTACGGCGTTTTAATTCATGTCCATCACAAACAACATGTTTTTTTTTTTTGTGATTAACCAATCATACAAATATTTTGTTATTCTGTCCTTGTATCTTTTGTAGATTCAGATTTTGTTCAGTACTTGCATATAAATTAAAATTTTGTATATTTATCATATAAAAATAATATCTAGATTTATGTTTATATTGTTTCACTATTTTTTTTAGGCATTTGCTTTAAATTTTCTTAGCTTAAATCACAATTCATGTTTCTGAGATTAACCAGTCCATTCTTGTACCATTTATATTGATCAGTAGCAAATAGTATCATTTAAAAGAAGTCAGACAGGTACTGTGGGAATTATAAGTACTATAGTATAAGCAGATTCGATCCCAACTAGTGCAAAGCATTTCAATCTTCATTACAAAAGAAAAAAGTAGCCAAGATTTTTCATTATCTAATTTCTATTATCCAATCGTCATTGGAATCATTGACAAGGATAAAATTAATTAAAAATATCTAAGTGGTAGCCACATCAATAATTACAACTTTTATTTATAAAAAATGTAACGAATCATCTTCACTCTCAGTCGTTTTGTGGCATATACAATAATAAGCCAAAACATAATGAATCTGGACAATTTACGAAGCATTATTCACTAGTTTACAAGACTTGCCGCTTGCTGATAAACACTTTGGACCACAAAGCAATAAGGCAATAATAATTCTACGGACTTGAGACTTAGCTATAAGTCAATATTGAATATTTTATATAAATCCGAGACTAGAGGAGAGATCACATGAATTAAGACGGTTTATCAGCAATATTCAATATTGATTTAGTTTGCATCTAACTAACATCACTTTTTTTTTTCTTTTAAGAAACATAGATTGATAATTCATTCCTTAGAGTATGGATGCTTTGCATATTTTAGTATGACTAATAACCTGTTTAATTTATTTTGTATTATATTTTTATTTAGTTGTAGAGCCGGTAAATAAAGTTATATTAAACGGTATTTAGTTGCGAACATATATATAAATTTTTTTAGCTTTCAAACGGTAAATAAAGTTATATTAAAACCATATAGTTTCTAAACCGTAATTGTTTTTAGCTCCATAAGTTTCGAAATCGATCCTAATTAGTCGAAAAATCCGCCTAGGCAAAGAACCTACTTTCTTTTTGTTGTCCATTGTTCTTCATTTACTTTTGGGTTGAATTCATGAACACAACAACATTATATGAATCATATCAATTGGGTACAAAATCGTAAAGACAATAATAGAGAGGTGTAAAAACTTAAAAGTGGTGTCTGTTGAAGCAGTCTATGTGGCCCATTAAAATATGTGTAATCATGCATGATTTTTTTTCCTTATCTCTAAGAGCTGCCCTCACTGAGTCTTCTTGCTTCCGTGTCTTCACGATTAATTTATATTGACAATATTACGAATTGAGAAGAAAAGCGAATAACCAGAATTGAGTTTGCCGACAAAACAAAAATAAAAAAATCACCAGAGAGACTTGATCAATTTGTTAACATGGCCGATTCTGACCCTCAATTAAATTTGATTATGGACCCATTATCTCATTTTTAGCAAATAATATTCATTTTATAATTATTTATTAGTTTTTTCTTCATTAGTTTAGTTCTAATGAATACAATAGAATAAAAGATGGTATAGAAATTATGCATAAAATGCAACATAAAACAATTTCTCCCCCAAAACATGTACTAATTAAAAAAACAGATGTAGTAATAAAGTAGAACTAGATCCTGACACGCACATACGTGCGGGATTTCATATTTTAAGAAATTTTGTAATAAATTTTTATTAAATATATGATTATTTTGTTGTTTTAGTGATATATATTGTATTGAATAAATTATAATGTACACAGAAAAGTATAAAATATTATTTATGTTTACTTATGACTAGGGGTGTCAAAATGGATCAAGATTCATGGGTCAACCAAAACTCAACTCAACCCATGAACCCTAATGAGTTGAAATTTTTGACTCAAATGAGTTGATGGATCAAATGAGTTATTGAGTCAAATGGGTTGATAGATCAAATGAGTTGGGTTGTAATGGGTCAGTGGTTTGAATGGTTTACCCATTTAAGCCATCAATTTTTGTTACATTGAATCAAACCAATTCAAATCTCTAAACCGATTTCAATTTAAGTCTAACCAAAACTTCTAAACCGACTGAATATAGTCCTTAATTTTCCCGCCAAAAATGTGAATACACAATTTTTTCATCAAAA